AACATACATAAATCATATATTTTATTCAAAAAAAATACAGTTTATTAAAAGATTTCAGAATTCTATTTGAAATTCACAGAGTGTTAAATTAACTTACAGAATTCTATTTAAAATCTTGACTTTATATTTAAGCTATGGTTTATTATCTATTTTGTTGAATGCAGAAAAATATTATCTCAAAATCTAAGGTTATCTTGAACTAAAATAACCATGATAATTTTCTAGTTACATATTTCTCTAGTTTTAAAGTCAGCTGCAGTGTATGATGATAAACTAAGTATATCAAGTAACTTAAATAATCTAGCTTTACAACTGGTGCCACTGCATGGCAAATGTTTTTTTTGTAATTTGTAAACTAAACTCCTTCAAAGTTGTTGCTTGTAACTTGTGATAATGTTTCTGCAAATCGCAAGTTGTTGAAAAGGCATTTAAAATGGTTCATTTATACCTAATCCACCACATTAAATTAGACAACTTGTTACTGTCTTATTTAAATATGATTTATCTACTTAAAACATACAGAAAAAAATATATGTAAGGATGGTATGTGGCATTTTACCAAAACTTACTTTTAAGCATATTAAGTTGACAAAATTTTTATTAAGAAGTATTAAACTTGCTGCATAAGTAATAAATTTTTGCTGTATTAAAAATTTATACATAATGGAATAGCTTATTTGAAATTATTTTTGACACCAACAATCACTTAGTGCTTGCAAGGACAATCCATTTTGTAATGACTTTGGCTTCAATAATAACAAAATAAAAAAACTAAAAAATATGTTTAGTAGCTGGAAATGTAATGTATTTAGCTACACGGGTAATATAAAGTGGTATTAATATAGTAAGTCATGTCAAAAAAAAAATGATGTTATTAGACTTGTTCATAACTAAATTATATATATATATATATATATATATATATATATATATATATATATATATATATATATATATATATATATATATATATATATATATATATATATATATATATATATATATATATATAATATATCTAAATTTATTGTCATTAATATTTTAACATTAAAAAGACAGTTATATTATTTTAATTATTAAATCTTGTATTCTATTTTATTATTAAGTTACTACACCATAAAACTGTTAATTATACATGAAGTATTTTACTACTTCATGAGCATACCAATTATATAATAAGTGGTTATGAAAATAGTCGTTTTAGCCATCTCACTCTCTCTTTAATGTTCTAGTTCCAAATTATTGTTTTTTAATTGATGTTTGTTATATATCAATTTAATTTGACTTTTTAAAATTTGAAAGCTTTTGCAATGTAAAATCTACGAACTACATAAAGTGTTGTTGATTATGCATACTTAGCAGCAAATCGATAAACACTGCTCATGATATAAATTAGACATATTAGAACTAAAACCAAATGTAAAATTTGAGATTCCCACTAAGTCATCATAAAATGTTTTGTTTAGTAATGTTGTAGGATACATGCTTAAATGTTATAATATCATTGGTTAAAGAAGTACCAATCAGGTAAACAAAGATAAAATATGCTACTTCAAAACCTGAAAGAAAAGTACAATTTCGGCTAAGTTTTAAAAAGAAGTTGTTGTTTCTGAAAATATTTTGCAGAAAAATTTCCATCAAATGAGTCAATTACATTTTTACTAGGAACTAAGCTGTAATGACTTCTTCATGAAATTATTGAAATATTTATACTTGATTTTAAAGCTTTAAATTCAGCTTATAGCAGAGTATCATTTATCTGAAGCAAGCTTTTCTGCAATCTGGATTAAATTATTTTAAAACCTAATAGGATAAAGAATAATCTTTTCTTTCTTTTATTCTTTACTAAATTGTTTATCAGTAATCATGTCCTTGTGTTTGCCGTTGAAGTGACAAATCACCTTGCGGTATACATTTTTTCTTGAAAAAACAAACACAAAATTATTCTTTCTTCACTTTGGTTAAGATAAATTAAACTAGGTAGTCTAATGTTTGAACTAAAATTGAGGTCTGTCTCCAACAAATAGCAACTCAATAGCAGCTAAAACAGCATTGAATTTATTCAAATTTTTTAAGTCTGCACCATAATATGTAATTTTAAAAATATTTGATGCACTCTCAGTCCGGTCACCCCATAAAGTTCAAGTTATTATTATGCGAAATCTATAGAAAATCTATAGAAGTTTTCCGACTAAAAGAAAATGCTTCCAGACTAGTTAAATATTATGACTATGATTAAAATGATTATATTGTAGGAATGGTGATTATGATCATAAATACTTTTATAACAAAGCTAACCTTCTGGTTTGTTACAATTTTTCTAGACCAGAACTAATAACGTTCTGGTCTAGAAAAAATAATTTTTGAAAAATTAAAAAATAAAATTTAAGTTTGCTTAAATTTTTATCTCATATCAATCTACTTGAAAAAATGGTTAAATTTTCTTGCTTTGGCTAAAAATCTTAAAAAAAAGCTCTGGGTGTTGGGTGTTTAGGTGGTTAGGGTATTTAGACGTTTTAAAAGTAGACTAAAACTGATGAAACAAGAAGAATACTTTGAGTTAATAATGGGTTTTTATATACTATGTTAAAAGAAATTTTTTAACATTGCGGTAAACAACAAAAATCAATTTTAATAACGCTATTGAGTCAACACTCACTAAATATTTTATTTGTGCAAACAATTTGTGTTTAAATAAAATGTGTTTTCTTTATGTCTGAATAAAACAAAAAACAATTATACTTTGTAAGGATTGCCATTTTGATATGAGAAAATAAGTTGTGCAGAGCAAGCAAGAACCTTTTTAACTCCATTTTCAAGAGAAACTTATTTGAGAAAATATTACTAAAATTAGTAAGTATTAACAGTTCAATTTAAGGAATATTTGCAATAAGTCAATAAATTGAGAAAACTATTTGCATTTTGTTGTAAAAACTTTTTTTTTTTTTTTTAATAAATATTAATTTGAAAAGTTGTTAGTTTTGTTGCAAAACTATTACTCTTAATATACTTTTTTAACTATTTGAAATCTTCAATAATATAGGACCTAGGTACAACTAAAATGTTGTACCTGGGTACAACTTTTTAGTTGTACCTGGCAGTATGAACTCCTTTACCCCTATCCTTCGCTGCTGTTGGGATAGCTTCTTTGACTAGATAGTGTCAATAGTTGTCTTTTTAATTGGAGTTTTTGAGGTATTTTGACTATCTTCTGCCTCTTTCTACCTTTCCTTCTCTATTTCTTTGTCAATCTGGGTATAGCATTGTATGAATCCGGCTTCCTTTCAAGGACTAGCCTTTGATGACTACAAATTTACAAAAGTTTATAAGTTTTCAAACTTATAAATACTTTGTATTCTTTTTATAATTTTCAAAATCAATTCAAATTAAATTTTTCTCCTAGTTGACCTTAAATAAATCTTGCAGCTTCAGAGGGTTATCTGCTTGCTCTTCAATGCTGAGACTCAAGTTTTGTTGTCTTGCTTCTATAAAAGCCTTATTCTTGGGTGGTCCATTCTTAAGCCTAGTTTGTATGGAATAAATTCCACACAACAAAGGAGATTATACTCCTGCCTAAGTCACAAAATATTGGATCACACATTTGTGCTGAAGGTTTCTTTACAGAATTGTTTGACTATGCAAGTTTTTAACTTTAAGATTTTACCTTCTTTTTAAGAAGTAAGATATCTGTCAAGGCTATTAAATATGTTGAGACTTATGCAATAAAAAAATTCTCTACAATTCTCTTCCTCCGATTGGAAATGCTTTGCATTTATGGTTGTTTTACCATAACCTATTTGCGGTTTTTTCTGTTAACACCTCACTGTGTTAATTGCTTCAATACTAGCTAAAAATGAAATTAAACTGCTTCTAGGGATCTTTTAGGGATTTTTAAACTGCTTTGAATCTAGGGATTTAAAGCAGTTTAATTTCATTCCGGCCGGAATTTTTGTCTTTTTGTCAGCCAGTTTAAATTAATTGCGGCCAGAATTTTTTAGATCATTTCGCTTGCGGCTGGAATTAAATTTTTTTTGTTTTTACTTTTTTTTTTTATGACTTGTGGCACAGGCTTTGTAAATAAATCTAAAAATCATTATCCTACAGAGCAATGAAGAACTATAGGTAAACCGAGGTAAAAGGTACAAATGTAATTTTGGCAAATATATTTGCAATACTAATTCTTCTGCAAATAAACTTACATTTGTATATATATATATATATACATATATATATATATATATATATATATATATATATATATATATATATATATACATATATATATATATATATGTATATATATATATATATATATATATATATAAAGTACATATATTTATATATGTACTTTTTATATACTTTCAAAACTTACATATGTTATTAGTTTATAAAAAAATAAACAAAAAAGCCACAGTGTATACAAAAAACAAAAAAAAACTTATAAAGTTTCCATGTCTAAGCCAGTGGCGTCTAAAACAGTTTTTATTTCTCATTTGAGTCGTCCGCAATGATAATTAGTAGTCCTGTGTAAAAGTTTTTTGTTTTAGGTTTTTCTCGGGGGAAATTACTAAAGAAAAAAATTTTAACCGTCTGATTACTAAAATATGCCTAATAAGAAACGGTTTATTATTATTTATTTTTTTTAAGTTCCCTGTGTCAACAGGACGGTTGTAGCAGATCTGCTAAATGGTGCGTTAAATCAATTAATTAGGAGTTAATACAGTTTTTCAATTTATTTGGAATGATAATATAAATAAAACGTTTTTTTTATTACTTTGAATATGTTTCGTATATAATCTATTATGAAATAAAATTATTTTGTTTTAAAAATGTGATAAACAAAAGTTATGGTCAAAATTAATATTTTTTAAATTTTATGAATCAAAGTTTTATTTGTAAAATTTTGTGCTATTTTATAATTTATAATTTTTGTTAATTTTTTTTTTTTATTATTATTTAAGATTATAATTTAAATATTATTGTATTTAATTTTGATACAGACCGTCTACGCAAAAGTCATGACGATAATTTATTCATCGAATGCTTTTATGAAAGTCAATCATCATTTACTAATGAAATAAAGTCTATCGTTGATAAACGAGATGATAAAAATAATAAGTTTATGTTTGGTAAACGTAAGTGGTGGATCTCGATTAACGATGTAAAAACTTCTTACAAAACTACTTGCGAAAATTATTTCATAAACCATTACATAAAATCTGAAAGAAAGTTATGGAGGTTAGAAGTTGATAAAAATAATTTAATTGATGAAGAAAAAAAACTTTTATATCAATGTTCAATTAATGTTAGCGATGTGTACTTCCATCGTCCTATTAAATTGGAAGGATGCAAACCAAACAATAAGATTGAATGGTTAACAATATGGATCTCACGTTATTTAATAACAAAAAATGATTTTGAAGAAAACTTTCTTCCGTGGATTAATTTTTGTGAAGGATTACGTCTTCACCTTCACTACGACATTGATTTCATTGACGATGTTTATAAATGGATTCGTTGTTCAAATATCAAGAAGTTGTTGATCAACTACCGAGGGAAATATTTTCATCATCTTGATGAATTAAAAAACTTTATAACACATAAAAATGTATAATATTACAAATATATATAAAATAAAAACAATGATTTTAAAATAATATTTATGGTATTGTTTTACAATTAAATATGTTCTGAAATACATGAATTAACTCTAAGGTTATATTAGATTATAAATTAAAAAGTTTAAAATTCATGAATTTTTTATTATTTAAATATCCTATTATTTATTTATTTTAAAATATATTGATAATAATAATTTGAATATTAATACAATACAAAGACTATAAAAAACAATGAGCCTACGACCTAGCCTTGAGGTAAGCTACTAGTGCCCGCTTTCTATTTAGATGTGATGCGTTGATAACTACTCGTTGACTTTGGTTGGTTAGCCGAGGTAAGATCCATTTTACGAGTGCGCTTTGAATTTTATGAGCTCAGGCGTCAGAAACCTTAAAAAGTGGCAAAAAATATTTATTTATCAAAAAATATTATATTTAACAGGATTTTTCTGGGTCAAAGAATTCATTTTTGATGTTAAAAACAATATCTGACCACTATAATCAGCATATTATCTGTAATCTGTGATAAGACCGTAACGACATCTTGGAGCACCTTGATAAAATTTTAAAATAATCATTAATGGGGAGGGGATTACCCCTACTCCCCCTACCCCCTCATCTTTACCCGTCCACTCACACACACACAAACACACACACAACCTCCTTCTCGGTGGTCTTACATATATGTCAGAAGTTAAGGAGCTAAGGAAAGGTTTTCAAATTTGTTATTACTTAATTTTCATTTTACTTTGCTCAAGCGATATTTATGGTTAACATTTGACCAAAGATTTTTTTTTGGACAAAAGTTATTTTTATATTTGTACATAAATGTTAATATTTAAAGCGAATTAAGTTTTGGTATATCGAGGAAGTTCATAAATTTCATTGCAGATAAAGGGTTTTCTAATTTCTTTAAATATATATATATATATATATATATATATATATATATATATATGTATATATATATATATATATATATATATATATATATATATATATATATATATATATATATATATATATATATACACACACACACACATATATATATATATATATATATATATATATATATATATATATATATATATATATATATATACATAAATATATATATATATATATATATATATATATATATACACACACACACACATATATATATATATATATATACATATATATATATATATATATATATATATATATATATATATATATATATATATATATATATATATATATATATATATATATATATATATATATATATATATAGTATATATATTTATATTATGTATGTATATAAACATATATAGTGTATGTTTATTATGTATATATTATATATGCATATTATATATATGTCTATATATATATATATATATATATATATATATATATATATATATATATATATATATATATATATATATATATAGTATATATATTTATATTATGTATGTATATAAACATATATAGTGTATGTTTATTATGTATACATTATATATGCATATTATATATATGTCTATATATATATATATATATATATATATATATATATATACATACATATATATATTACGCATATATAATATATACATACACTATATATGTATATAAAAACATACATAATATAAATATATATAATGGATGATGTTTTACAAATTAATGATTTATCAAGCTTTTTTACCAATCCATGTGATTTAAAGAGTTTGAATATTTTTCATATTAAAAAATTTTTATTAAATTTTTAAAGATTTTTCTTGTAAAGTTGTATTAAAAAAAAATTTGTGCATGCTCCTTTAGTCCATGATATTGGTTGGTAGAAGGATCAGCATAAAAGTTTATCAAATTTTAGCAACTGTATAATGTATCATAACGTACAGTTTAAAGTTGTATTTTTCTGTTAGCTATTTTACATGAACAAATTTTTAATATATAAGTATTTTTTCTATTATATTTTCTACTATACTTTTCCAGTTGAAAAAGTATAGTAGGGCATGCAAAATGTTTATTCGAGCTGTTTGGATAGAAAATACAGAGAAATAAAGAGAGAAAATTCGCTTGATAATTTTTTGTGCTGGCCATCATTAAATGTAATAAATTGTTTCAATGAAATGCATAAACCGCATCTAACGAACAGAGATTTACGCTGCTCAAAATTAAATGTCATGGAGATAATGTAATTTTTTTTTATATAAACCTTAAGTCATTACTTTTTTTCCTTGTTTTTTTAACATGCTTTTATTCTGCATATGTTATTTTCAGTGTTTAGATATATTCTTTATTATATATTCTTTATTATATAATGTATTTAAAACATTTTTATATTGAATGAATATTCTTAGATCATGAGTTATGTAATAAATTTGAATTTGCCTCTACTAGTGATACTCAGATTCAGAAAATGGTAACTATTTCAAAAGATACTTAATTCAAGTATTATTAGTTATATTTTGATATTAATTTTTATAGGAGCCACTACCATGCTTATGCAAGAGAAAACATAATAACCAACAGAATAGTAAGCAAATACCTACTCCTGTAACGCAAAAAAAGAAACAGAAAACAATTTTTATGCATACTCCACATACTGTAGCTCAAGGTATTAATTGTCTGTCTGCAAGTTGATTTAGGAAGAAAAGATTCTGAACATTTTTTTCTATGCTTCAGTGATTTACACATTTCTTTGGTTGCTAAATTAATACATTTTATTTAATTTATGAATAATGTTTTATTTTATAAATTTTTTGTTCTTGTGTTTCAACGCTTTTAGAAATTAATTAATGTTTGGTTCTTTTGTCTTGCTGGTATATCTTTATTGTTAGAAAGAGATGTTAGTAAATACTCTTTCCAGTAATTAAAGTAGTATCATGACAAATAGTTCTGAAATTCTATGGATGAACTTGCAGCAGTAATTTAATGATTATGATAACAGTTTAAATGATTCTTGGGTGAGGTCAGAAGTGATGGGCTGTTTCAAACCATGACTTTTTGCAGTTTTTTTTATTGTTTTTTGATTAAGTATTTATTAATAACTTAGCCTAAGTTAATCTACTTGTAACTTTTTATAAATGTACTATAAAAATAATGTGGTGTAATTATTTTCTTAAACCTTTAGGTTAACAAACTTTCCTAAATTGGAAGTAAAACCATTGAGACAAATACAAATAAATGTGATGCAAAGGTTTGTTAAAAGTAGTTTTAAATAAAAAATCTTTTGAATCTTTTTATTATAGTTTGTTTTAAACTTGTGTTAAAAATATGTGTAGCATATATTTTTAAAAGTTTGACTAATTCTAATCAGACATAAAATAAATCTATTTTTTTTGTCTGATTATAATTTTTTTTGTAACTGTTTTCTCTTACTTTTGTATTTCCTTGAGCTAAAGAGCAACCTTAAAGTACAAAGGTTGATTTGTAACGCATACTAAACCTTTTTTTTTACTCTATATATACATACATATATATGTATGTATATATACATACATATGCTTATATGAATATATATATATATATATATATATTATATATATATATATATATATATATATATATATATATATATATATATATATATATATAATGGTGCAATTTAAAGTTTTTTCTTTTATTTATAAAGTTGTACTTGATAAAAATAAATAAATAAAGTTAAACATTTTTATGCAAAATATTTATACTTTATATATATTTTATATAATTTATCATAATAATTAATATTTATTGATTATTATGATAAATTATATAAAATATATATAAAGTATAAATATTTTGCAAAAATACTTTTATTTGCAATAACTTCTTCATTGCATTGTGGCATGTTTGCAATTTATTTTTTATAGTTTTTGTCAACTCTGGGTTATTATGCCAGATCTTGATAATCTCTTCCATAAGATCTTGCTTATTAGTAAGATTTTTAATCCCAATCTTTTGCTTTACTATTTCCCAAATGTTTTCTATGGGGTTAAAATCATGCGATTTGTCTGGCCATAGCAATACATCAAGTAAGCCATAACAGTTTTTATTGTGTGGCAAGTTTTTATTGTGTGGCAAGTTTTTATTGTGTGGCAAGTGTGGCACCATCTTGCATAAATATAAGATTTTTGACATTATTTTTAATATTTTTGAATTTTTTTGTCTCTTTTTGACTTTTTTGGCTGGACATCAATCCCTCTTCTTTTAGCCTTCTACAAATGGTCCGGTCTGACACAACAATTACAGCTTCATGGATAAGCTTAGTGGCTTTTTTTCTGTTTTCCAGGCAGATATTTCTGATTATACTGTCCGCTCTTGGTATTTTCTAGCGTTTAGAAGGTCTCCTTGGACCAAACTCTTCCCCTGTATCAATTCTTTTTCTTACTTGCATTACGGTTTGGTAAGAAACCTTTGCGGTTTGTGCAATTTTTCATTGAGATTAATTTGTATTTTGTGAAAGACATGTTTATCAATTTTTAATGTAACTGTAATAATAATAACAATGTATAATGCGGGTTGTTGACCAATGGTTTATAATCGAAATTTAATATGGCTGGCGGTAAAGGTAAAGAGAAGTTTAAAGGAACAAACATTAGGTATTTACTTGTAATTTAAGTGTAAAATTATATATTTTTTAAAAATCACAGTTCCTTTTTTTAATGCTATTTTATTTTTAACTTTTTGATGTGTTTGATGCAAATTTCTCAGGCAATACCTTTTTTATAGAGAGCGTTTTTTCAATTATAGTGACTGCTACAGGTGCCTAAATAAGAAAAGGAATAATGACTTTATTAAAATACCCACTCGACAGATCAAATGGTTGTGGTCGGCGCGTAAAAGGCAATTCACCCGATGTATAACATTCATACTTTTTCCAAGTTGTTCTGGAACTATTGATAATAGTTATTATTGATAAATTGATAAATATATTACTGATAAATAAAATTTTTTTTTTCAAACATTTTACTTTATTTGCATTGTATATAAAGTCCGTTGAAGCAATTTAGTTGTATCTGATTAATATACGTGAAATATAATATCCTCTGCGCAAATTATTGCTTTTTTATTGTATTATTTTATTGCAATTAAAGTTGAGATAATTTTTTAGTTAATTGGATTTAACCAAAATAAAAAACAAAAATCAACGTTGAATTTACGTTGTTTCAACGTTGTTCTAACGTCTTATCAACTAACCCCTATAACATTTTTAGGTTACGTTACGTATTGTAACGTAAACAAGATTCGTTACGTTACGTGCAAAATGTCCGTTATTTTTACGTAACCGAGACGTAAAATTTTACGTAACGATACGTATCATTGTAACGTAACGTTACGTGCAAAATGTCCGTTATTTTTACGTAACTGAGACGTAACATTTTACGTAACGATACGTAACATTGTAACGTAACATTGTTCCCGTATTCATATGAGATTAGTTTATTTATTGTTAACATTCATGACAAGACATACTCTCACAGCCTAAAGAGTTTAGCTGGAAGGGTAAGCCTCATATATAGCGAGGAGTGGACAAACACTTGTAATATGAAAAAATTAGCAAATAAATAACAATCAAACTAAAAGTAAAACATATTTTAAAATTCTAAAATCACTTAATACTAACCGTAATCTTACCGTCAAACATATTGTTAGAATAATGAGAACATTATATCTGACAAACTTGACATTATATACACATTTTTGCTTGTGAGGTAATAAAAACACAAGTAGTGTTAAGCTGATTAAATAAAAAAATTTGTAAAAAAAATTGAAGTTAACGTTAATACTATTCCACCGTAACGTGAAAATTTTTAGAAAAAAAAAAAGTTTAGAATAGCAAATATAATTGTTTTTAGGTTTTACATATAAAACTTGTGTGAAATAGAGTTTGCAAACAAAGGGGTCGTTCGCACCTAACAACCCTTTCCCCCCCCCCCCCCTCCTCATATACATTTTTTATTTCAGATAAAGTTTATTGATGACGTTCAGAAAAATGCCTTTAATTCAGAAGTTTATTATAAGGAAAAAAATTAATAACATAGTAATATAATCTGTGTACATTTTTCATCTAATCACTGTCTTTGGTAAACGAAATATCATCGTTGCAAATATCATCAAAGGCGTTATTGTCAGAATTATCATTCCCAATAGATTCAGGTGCAATATTAGCCTTCTTTGGTGCCCGACTAGGTTGCCTATTAGTCTGATTGCTGCGCGTTTTGCATGCATTGACATTCGTTTTAATTGATCCCCGAGCGCCTCTGCCACCTTATGGGCGTTAATGCGTTTTTGCGATCTTAGCTGCAGAGAATCTATAAAATATAAAAATAATATCTACATCTTTAAAAAATGGAATTGGTAATTTTTCTGAAATTTTTTTTAGTTACTAATGTTTTGACGAACGCATTGTTGAATACCATATTTCATTAATGATTTACGTTGTTTAACAAGTTCTTTTTATTAACAGTTGTAAATGCATTGAATTCAATGCAGTCTTTTTTTAAAAAAAACACCCACAAGCAATCTAATTCCTTATTTTAAATATTATTACTGTAACCCGTGGAAACGACTTGTTACGTATATAAATAAAAAATTATTCCTCATTAAAACACGTCACATATATAATTTTTTTTTTACGTTACCTTACGTCTATTTTTTACTTGTAAGAGTGTAACGAATTTAGACGTGACGTAACGTTAAAAAAATTAATGTTTGAGACGTATTTTAGTTACGTCTCAAATCCAGATTTTGTTACGTTACGTAACGTCTCAACTAATTACTCTTTAAAAAGTTTAAAAAAAACAAACAATTAAGACGTAATGTTACGAATTGAGACTTTTTGTTTTTTCGTGACAAAGTAACAAATTGAAACGAAGCTATTTTACAATAAAAATAAAAAAAAAGTATTTAGCAATACGGCAATGAGGAACAAACATTTACTGCATTTTCAAGTTTATTTACTTAATAGTTGAATAAAAAGTAGAGAATGTAACCTTGTTACCAATTGTAACCGATTGAGACGTAACGTAACTTTAAAATGTTATAGGGGATAGGAAACAACCCACGTTTGACATAATAAATCTGTAACAGTACTTTTTTAAAAAAATTTTATTTAATGGTAATGCAAAATAGGTTTTCCAAATCAATAAACTGGTTTTAAAAACTAAATTTCCGTCTTGAAAATTGACGAGTTGAGTCTTGAAAGTTGACAAGTGCTAAAATAAATTTTTTTTAAAAGTTTACTTTATGTTGGGAGGCATATTTTTTGTGTGATCAACGCTTACCATTCAAAAACATGCACATTATAAGCTTAATATAATGCTATAGTTGATTTTTTTATTATATTAAAAAAACACTAAATGCCTTCAAAAATATTTGGGTTATAAAATGATCTTAGTTTCTGATTCAAATTATTTCTAAAAACAAAAATCTCAATAAAATATTTTTGGTACTGTTGATAAGCTGTGGTTCTACTTTTTGGAATAAACAAATAAAATGTTTTTGTATTTTAAGTCATCGGATGCACGATTGAAGAACAACACCTCAAACTTTTTTGTCGGCATAAAACCTCAGATCTTTTTTTTTAGCCGTGTTTTATCGATTATCGATATTACACGCTCGGATGTTGAAGTGCCTAGCTTTAATTACTCCATGCCGTTTAGGTACACATTTTTACATGGCCTTATCTTATTGGTAAAACAACCATAACGTTCATTTAAAATATCCATGATAATCAACATCTTTTTATTTTATAATATTTATTTTGTCTAAAATAGTAACTATGTGTTTAGCTGCTTTGGATAAGGCGTTCTCTTCATACTCGAAAGGCTTAGGTCCGAATCTCCGTTCGGACAATTTTACTTCTTTTTCTTTAACATCTCGTTGCTCGTATATTTGCTGTGACACCATTCCCCTATTCTTTTTTTATAGAATACTCAAACCTTTCAGTGTATTTTCTAAGTAAGGCGTACACACGCATACCGGGTTTTGCATCTATTTAAATATGTCATCCGTTTAAAATTAAAATACATTCAGTTCAATTAAAATAAATTAATATGATATTAAAAAAATAAATTTAAATAAATAAGTATATAAATAAAACCTTTTTTAAAAAAAGAATATAGAATGTTGAGATTGCGCATGCGTTAAATGTTTTAATTGAAAATCACGATTGTTTTAATTGAAAATCACATTGTTTTGATTGTCGTGGTGTTTTAAATGAATGTCATGGTTGTTTTAAATGGTTGTAATGATTGTTTTAAATGGATGTAAAAACCGGTAAAGACACTCAGTTGATATGCATTAAAAATATTCATTTCTTTAAAACGTTGTTTCGTATGAAAAAACCAATTTTTAAAATTTATTGCGCGAGTTGCGTGTTTCTGATGCAGGTAAAGAGGTTTTAGCTTTGTTCTGTGAGTGCTTCCCCATATAATATTCGCGTAGTTTATATGACAATGTATAAACGAATAATATAATTGTGTTAACTGGTGTTTCTTTAATATATTTCTTGCTTTATAGAGAATTCCGATGCATTTAGCAGTTTTATTGGAGGTATTATCAATATGATTTCTCCAAGATAGATTTTCATCAATTTATACTCCGAGAAATTTAGTAACTTTTTCTCTTTTTACTATGCATTATCAATTAAATGGTCTGACATGATGTGGGGCAGTTTCTGGTGTTTTAAAGGTGGATAAAAATGTGTCCTTTTAGTTTTTTCTATATTTAAAGACAATCTATTTTGTTTAAACCAAACAAAAACTTTTTTTAATTAATTTGTCATATTAGTAAAAAGCATATTAATATCTTTATGAGACAAAATTAAATTTGTGTCGCCCGCAAAATTTATTGCTGTTAAAATTGATGATTTATGAAGATCATTTATGTATATTTACTATATCGCTATAACCCGTATAACTATATACTATATCCCGTAAAATAATAAGAAATTAAATAGTTATTTTTCCGTATAAAAGTAACATGAGGTTAACTTTTACAAACCACAAGGCCCACCACATGACCATCCTTGTTCGCATTGGCTATCTTTGGAGCAATAAACATAATTTTTGTTTTGTGAACTTTGGAAAGCACCGTTAGTGTAACACCACCAGTCACCGCTGCATTTTGACCAACAATAACCTTTACTGCATCCACATTTTTTCCCTTCCTCGCTTCCGTCACCGCATCTTTTAACAACTAAATACAAACGTTTTTTTCTTTTTACACTAAAACACTAATGCAAAAAAAAAAAAAAAAAAAAAAAAATTGCATAAAAATTGTAACCTTTTCCATACTTTGTAAAAAAAAAGTTTATTTTGTCTTTGTATGTCGTATTAATAAATATCACTGGAGAACCATTTTAAACCTTTTTTCTGTTGATTTTTATGACGATTACAACTAAAATTGGCTCTCTGATTCCAAATTTGACATCAGTTTTTTTTCAAACACATAAAGTTTTTGAAGATACTTGAGTTCAAAAAATATTCGTTTGTAACAAAAGTGAATATTTTTTATTTTTTATTTGTGAAATATTTTGTTGAAATTGTATTGTTAAAGTTTTGGCTTCAGAAAAAATGTTCCGTGGTTGACGCTGGCTCTGGCCATATATCCATCATTGGTAAGTAAGGAGAAGTTAACTTTCTGTTTAAACGCTATTCCATGGTGTTCTGTGATAAGATTATAAGGACTTCTTGAAGCATAAAAATCAAAGTGAACAGAAAAAAAGCTTTAAATTTTTACCCAGTGACCAAATACCAAATATTTTTAGTATTATATGTCTAGTGCTTGCTATTTTAAAAAAATACTTTTTGTATCTTACCTCTGCAGTTATACATGAGATTGATTTGTTGTATGTCATTTCCGCTAAATCCATCTCTGTTTCCAATAAGTGACTGATCTGCAGAATTTTTTGTTTTTATTGTCATCTTACCATTACCGAAAGCTGTTGCATCATAATGCATTATTGAGCGAACGTCGTACTGTGTATTTAAACTGTTCACTCTGCTGGATGGTTCTTTATCAAAGTTGTAGCGCACATCTAAAAAATTAACAAATTATTAAACATGTAGAAACAGATTTAACTTGCAAGATTAGCATAAGGATGTTTTTTAATAAAAATTTTATAAATTTTGTTTAATACTGACCAGCCGGAATGTTTGCAGTGATAATTTCAACATATGAATCTCGATCTGGTCGCGACTGCTCGTGATGAAGACCTATAAACATAGAAAACACAGACCTGGAAACACTTACAAATATACAATAGGATACTTTGTTTAAAAGAATAGAACAAATATAGTTGATAAATAAAAAATAAAAAAATTAAAATAAACCTATAGTATGCCCTATCTCATGAATAACAGTTCCAACGCTTTCGCACCCTTCTCCAAGCGAGATAGCATTTATTCTGTCATTTTTGTAACCGACCGGCGACGAACAACTGAAATACACATTTATTAAATTCATTAAAAACAATGCATTCAGAAATAACTTCCTTTAAAAAAAATTTCCTACGAGTTTTTTTTGATTCTAGTAAAACTGACTTTAATATCTGTAACAGATATGCAGTCTGTTTGAGACTTTTATTGAGACCACTGTTTAAATCTAAATTACTTAAAATCGATATTATATATAAAATTTACCCTTTTCCAAATTGAAACTTGACATAGATGCGTTCTGTAGTTTTTGGTTTAAATTTTAAACATGTATACTTATGATACTGCTCGATAGCTCCTTGGATTCCAGCTTTAGCAGCTGATCCTAAACATAGATTTAAAAACTATATAATTTACAAATAAAGAAAAATTTTTCAATAACTTAGATGAAAATAAATAATGAGCGTAACGCTGTTTTTAATCAAAAATATAAAACATTTAGTTTTTTAAATATTACCCAATGATTTGTCTATTTCATAAGGTACAGTGTTATCAGGCCATCTTCCTCCAATAATGCTTGCAAATCCATTCTTTACTTTTAATTTTTCGTCAGGGTCTAGTACCATGTCACCTTGATAGAGACCTTTGTCTAAAAACATTTTTGTTATCTAAAAAACTTTAAAAAATTCCGTAACGATAAAATAAATTATACGCAATACGGTATAATAAATTATACGGTATAAATTAGTATACGGTACACTGTCAAAAATAAAAGTATATTACTTTCCATTTGAGAAACCCATTTAGCTTGAATCCATTCTCCAAATAACAAACAAACTACAATTGTAATAATCTTCATTTTCCTAAGTTTTCACTGGCGTTTTATAATGGTGAAAATGCCAAGTAAATTTTTCTAAAGTTTTTACTGGTGTTTTATGCCAAATGAATTTTTTCTTTTTATGCGGTAAAATGTTTTTATAGGAAAATTGATCAGCTGGACCATTATGTTGAATCATGAACACGATTAAATTTTTCGAATACACATAAAAAATTAAACTGTGTTATTCTAAATTAATATTTAGAATATTTCAATGTTACATCTCAAATATTTACTAATTATAATTAGTTAACAATATATACAATTTTTTTTTTATTTTTTTTGAAGTGACTTGATGTAAAAAAATATTGCACTAGCTGAACAAATTAATTTAGAGACCAAAATAAGAAGTAACTTTATTTTAAAAAAAGCGCCAATGATATTCGCTTTATTGATAATTCTTTTTTGATAGTTGCGATAAAACTTTACCTAACATAATAATCCGAAGAAAATTATTACAGAAGTTTAAAATAACAATTTTTTTTTTAAAAAAAATAGAAATTGCACTTGTGGTGCTGGTACTGTACAACTATAATCTATAAAAAGTACTTTAAGCTTTGTTTTATTAAAAATGCGAATTTATTAAGATCACAATATCAAAAATGCTTAAAGTAGTTATTACCTATTCAAAACTTTGTTCTTTGTGATCGTAAAATTGGACAAATACTTGATATGAATTGGTGAATGTTAAAAGGGCGGAAGTCTAACAATGTACACTTTTGGGAAACTAAAAAAAAACTGTGTTTCCCCCCGTAATAAATTTTTGTTAATGGTTCAATAATTTTTTTTTAAGGTGAAAAACATTATTCTCTTTAGAAAAAAAGTTATTAAACCATTAACAAAAGTTTGCTATAAGAGAAAATGCAGTTTTTCTTTGATTTCCGAAAATTTACATTGTTAGACTTCCCCCCTTTTAACATTCACCGATTCATATAAAAAGAACGTTCAACAAATATCTGAGTTTAAAATAAATCGCTGCGAAAAGCAGTGTCATTGCTACAATGACGGATACAAAGGAATCGCGGAAGGAAAGAAAGTTAAAGCAGTTATTTTTTAATAAATATTGTTATAAAAACGTATCGTCGGGGATAGTGCAAAACCATTTTATAATACCGCGTATCTACAGTACATTTTTTTTTTACTGGAGAAGTTTAAAACTTTATTTATTTTTTATTTTAACTGATTTTGGGTTCATTTTAGTAAAAAGAGTATTGTTCATGTTTTTTGTAATCTCAACAATAAATATTTAGTGTCAAAATTAATAATATCCAAATATAGTAGCCAATGCTAGTTACGTGGATTTGCACTTTCCCCGACGATATTAAAATAATGTTTTGCACTTAATTGTTAGTTATAAAATATGAACTACTCCCTTGTCTAATGAAATATGAACCTTATAACTAATAACCGTTAAAATAAAACAATGGCTTTTTGATTTCTAAATGTGAACCTTTTTTTTTTTTTTTTGTAGAAAGTTAAAGGTATTTTTTCAAAAGTTTTTAGTAAAAAATAGTCAATAAGTAATAATAAGTAATAATTTGATAACATGACACAAGAATTAAATAAAATAATATATTGGTTTAAGAAAAACAAACTGTTCCTCAATATTGATAAAAGAAAATGGACACCTTTTTACCCAATGTCCAGAAAAAAATGTTTACCAAATACAATAACCGACCTCTTCATTGATAATACAATACTAAAAAGGGAAAAAGTTACAAAACTTCTCGGAGTTCTTGTAGCCGAAAACTTATTATGGAAACAAAAAATTGATAATATCTCCTTGAATGTTGCTGAAAGTGTTGGAACTGTATATAAAGTTCGACATATTTTAAATAAACAACAATTAAACTACTATATTTGTTTATCTACTGCCATTTAAATTATGCAAATATTGTATGGGGAAGCGCGCACAAAATTAAACTTAATTCTCTTTATCAGCATCAGAAACACGCAGCTCCCTTAATTAATTTTGTAAATCGTTTTCAAATTTAAAACCACTTCTTAGTGAAATCAAAGCCTTAAATGTATAAGAACTAAATGTTTATAATATTTTATGTTTCATGTTTAAATGTAAAAATCATTTATCTCTTGATGTATTTATAAACCATTATAATGTAAAACCCATATACAACTACAATCTACAAGAACCTTTCTGCCAAACTAAATTTGAACAACTAATTATTTCTTATCGCGGTCCTTATTTATGGAATAAAATAGTTTTACCTAATTTTGATTTGTCATTAAAATGGACTTCAACTTCTTTCGAACGAAAATTAAAAAAAGTTATCTTTTCAGCAGAAAATATTTTTTCTTGTTTTTACTTCTTTTGTTTCATATGTTTCATACAATTTATCCAGTATATTGATATTTTAAATGCACAGTTATATATAGTTTATGTTGATTTATTTTTATTGGTTAATTTGATTTTATTGTTATTATTATTATATTTGATATTGTAAAGGGCTTCATGATAAGATCGTATGATCTTCTGGAAGTCTTGCCAATTATATTTGTAATTTGTAAGCTATTCTTTAATTGTAATTTCTTTTATTGAAGGCAAATAAATTTAGAAAAAATAAATAAATAAATAAAAAATAGCTTTGAACATAACTAGAAACTTCTTTTACATAATTTTTATAATTTAATTTTTTTTTTGAACTGTACACTTATGTAAAAAATTAAAATTAAAATTTATAAATAAATAATTGATTTTAAATTAATAAGCAAAATATTTTTAGATTATTTATTTTCTCAGTGTAGCAGCAGCAGTATTGTTTTTAGCAATGTTATTAGGAGAAAGACCTCTTTTTTTAATATTCCTAACTTTAAAATTTTTACGACCTTTAAATTCTTTTTCACTGTTGCAATCAATGTCTCAGCCATTAAAGTCAGTATTTTCATAAAACTTGTCCGAATTTGCATAACCAGATAAAGACCCGTGCACGGACATTATTTACCATAATCCACTCTAAAAAAAGAAGTTAAATATACATTGTAATATAACACACACACACACACATATGTATATATATATATATATACATATATATATATATATATATATATATATATATATATATATATATATATATATATATATATATATATATATATATATATATATATATATATATATATATATATATATATATATATATATATATATATATATATATATATATATATATATATATATATGTGTGTGTGTGTGTGTGTGTGTGTGTGTGTTATATTACAATGTATATTTAACTTCTTTTTTTAGAGTGGATTATGGTAAATAATGTCCGTGCACGGGTCTTTATCTGGTTATGCAAATTCGGAAAAGTTTTATGAAAATACTGACTTTAATGGCTGAGACATTGATTGCAACAGTGAAAAAGAATTTAAAGGTCGTAAAAATTTTAAAGTTAGGAATATTAAAAAAAGAGGTCTTTCTCCTAATAACATTGCTAAAAACAATACTGCTGCTGCTACACTGAGAAATTATATACAATGTATTTATATATATATATATATTTGGGGTAAAATAAGAAATTAAATTTCAAAATCTTTTCATTTTGTTATATATATATATATATATATATATATATATATATATATTATATATATATATATATATATATATATATAAATTGATATATATATATATATATATATATATATATATATATTGATATATATATATATATATATATATATATATATTGATATATATATATATATATATATATATATATATATATATATATATATATATATATATATATATATATATATATATATATATATATATATATATATATATATATATGTGTGTGTGTGTGTGTGTGTGTGTGTGTTATATTACAATGTATTTATATATATAAATACATTGTGATATAACACATATATATAATTAAAAATAATTGCTTATTCGAACAATTTCAAGGATTTTGCAGTTACAAATAATTTTAAAAAAATAATGAAGTAATTAAATGTAAAGGAAATAATAATAATTACCTTTAAGTAACAGTTTTTACTGAAGTGCTGTAGTTAAACCTTTTACACCCCTCTGTTAAACGGCATACACCCCTCTGTTAAACGGCATATCGACTGACAATATCCATCTTTGGCGCACAAATACAAAATATTGTTTTTGTTGTTGCAAGTAAAAGAAGTAACACTGGGAAACAATTCATCATAAGACAAAACCCTAATTTCAACAAACTTGATTTAAAGTAAACTCTTTTTTAAAAGTGTTTGTAAAAGTGAATATTAAAACCTTTCTCAGAACAAGGAAATGTTTAATGGTAACTAAAAATTGAAACTTTTATACTCAGTGTTTACATATTTTCTCAGTGCAGCAGCAGCAGTATTTTATACTGATATATATATATATATATATATATATATATATATATATATATATATATATATATATATATATATATATATATATATATATATATATATATATATATATATAAACATTTATAAACTAAACATTTACCAAACATTACTTTTCATGTTTAAAATAAAACATAGAATATCTCCACTTATATTTCAATCTTATTTTAGAGAAATATCTCATAAGTATCCAACAAAGTTTTCAGAGGATAACTTTATTGTTCCCAGAATTAATTTAAAAATAAGTTCTTATCGAATTCAATATCGAGGACCTTTTTTTTTGGAAAAATTTAATAAAGAACACTACTCTTTAGAAAAATTTAAAACAGTTTCTAAAAGAATCTTACTTCAATTAGATTTTAATTCAATAGACTTAATTCAATAGAATTTTTTTAAAAGGTAATTTTAAAATAGAAAAAACGCTTCCATTAGCACTAAATATATTTTGTTATATGTATCAAATATATTTGTATTAGTATACAAAACTTTCTTTATTTTTAAATTTTTAATATAATTGTCATTTTATTATTTGACAAAAGTTATGTACTCTTTAACGTTTTTTTGTATATTTTATTCATATTATATTCATATATATGTTTATAGTACGGACGTTTTGTAAACGGGGCTCGGTGATAAGACAGTCATTGTCTTCTCCTTGCTCCGGCCATTTTTTATAAATGTAATATGTAAATATATGAAAGGGCAAATATATAAAAAATAAATAAATAAATAAATAAAAAAAAACAACCTAGAAATAAATAT